CAATATAACAAAGAGTGAAAAATTTAAGGGGGTCTGAATACTTTCCGTACCCACTGTACATTATTAACCAACATGGTACAGTAACAGTAGGGTCAGTGTGTCCTTTAGCCACTGAACAGATCAATCGTTTTGCAGTGTGTTTTGAAGGTACTTGCACTTGAAACCCTTAAAATCATAAAATGAGTGTAAAGGGTTTATTGTTTCATTTTAAAAAGACAGATGGGACCGTTTGCAAATGTTCTGTTCTCTTCCTAACCACTTTTTGCAGTGTACTTTATATTACTTTTTTTTTTAATTCTCAGACTATTAACATAGTAATAGGGGAGGGGGTGCCATCAGTATTATACAGATAAGGCATATTATAATTGTAATAGTTGTTTGATGCTTTGATTTCTCAGGCATATATACTTGTGGCTTTTCCAGGACAACACACAAGATTTTAATTGCTCACTGCTCCTTCTCACTTGCTATTGATTGTTATCTGGTTTGGATTTCGGGCGTCTTACCCAGAGCTGACCTCATCTGTGAACCTGAGAACACGCTGTGGAATGGCACTAAGAGGGATAACGCCATCCCTCTCTGTTCGCCGGGACGGTTTGTTCTTTAAGCATGCAGGGAGGGTAGAGCTTAGCATGGGAAGAAACAAAGAAATAAACAAAAGCATGCATAACAGACATAAAAAGAAAGTAAAAATCAACTAAAAAATTGAAGCAAAAGAAGAGAGGGGCTTTACATATGTGAACGTCATAAGAAGGGAAATTACTAATGCTCTCAGTTTAATATCTAGATCTAGAAGCCATCTCTGTGATTGGGGTTGCCAACTTCAGAAGAGGACAATAAGGGACACTCTCGGGTTCTTTATAGGAAAATTAGAGATAGCATAAGGTGTCATGCTGTTGTGTACAAGTGTGTCTGCAGCTATGCTTTTTCCAAAAGGTACATCTGGAAAAAGGGGGGGTCGTCTTATATTCAGGCCAATACGGTATTAGTATGCGTTTATTAACAAAGCAACAGCAATTTTGCAGACTGGTGGTTGACGTAATGGACCCGGGAAGTAACTCGTTATAGTCCCTTACCAGTCGTTTTTGTAGGCACTGCCAGAATTTTAAAAGACAATATCTCTGTTTGCATTGAGCTTTCAGCTTCATAACTTTGTAGATATTGTTTATAATCAAACAGCAACATTACACACACAGCAATTTTGCAGACTGGTGGTTGGTGGACAATTATAATATACATATTATATTACTACAAACAATTTTGCTTTTAAGGGAAAACATTGTACACTACAGTACAGACATACAACACAAAGAAAGGGAGGGGAAACAATGTCTGTAATGACTGAAACAGCACACAAATCATACTAAGCAGAGGAACATTTAAATTTACTGCAAGGGTCTGAAAGTTTTCACTAACAGTATGGGAATCTCCTCAAGCACAACAATGATACTCAGGTAATTTCAACTAGCTTACCTGTAAATTTCTTTATGTATACCATTCACTAACAAGGGCATCTTTGGGGGAAGTGTGTTACAGTGCCTAGCTAATTTCCTAATTACATTAGCACAAACAAGCAGGCATCAAAAAGAGCAAAAAAAAAGAAAAGAAAGAAAAGAAAATCATAAGCAAGCACAACAAATCTTTTCACAAAAATATCATGGCAGGCATTGACAACAGATGAAAAAATGACTGTAAATAGAGATTTCATGTAATAATCAAACAGCAACATTACACACTAACTAACATTAAAAAAGTGAAATCGCAATCAACCACCCCTTTAAAAGGAAAATGAACTCAAAGATGCTTGAATCAGGCACAAAATAAAAAAGTTATTATATTATCTTATTATATTTATCGCCATCAGTTTTGTATGCTCTAAAATTGTCAAGAAACATAGAAAACAAGGCATTCTGGGATACAGGTAACTCAAAGTGGCAGCTCATTCACAGCTCTGGATTTTTTACCTGTTTGTATGCAGGCACTCAGCACTCCCACCTCGGATTGATCTGTTCATCTCCAGGACCTCGCTAAGGTTGCCATGGTGATGGTGACACATTGACAGTTTGACAACCAAACATAAAAGAAAAGTAAAAGGATGGTGAGGAAAAAGAAAGAAAGAAAAAAAAACGGAATATGTATAGAAAATGATAGACATGTATTTAGCAATATTTGTACTATTATTAATGGGAATGAACTAAAAACTATGACTGTTAGTCATATTAGTAGTATTAGTATTTAGTAGAGCAACAGCATAAAACATTTTGTTGACACAATATGAAAATCACATCAAATTCTGTTTCTAAAACATCAAACGTTCCTGATGCTATTTATCATGAATAGTAAAAAGATCCAGGTGTGAATAAAATTTCAATATAGCTAAAGCACACGATTATGTAAAGTGCTGCAGTGCTTTCCACAAACACACGCATTTTTATATATGCATTTGGAGCACTAAAATAGCAATACCTGTCCTCTGAATATTCATAGTCAGAATCTCCAGAGCGATGTTCCTGGTGGGAGTCATGGTAGCAAGAGGGAGAGTAGGAATGATGGCGGTTTTTGTGGATCTCATCCAGACTCCTGATAAGAGGATGAAGGGTGATGAGTCTTACATTAAACATAAATCATCGTCTAGAGGGCAAGACACGTCACACAACTATATCACAAGCGTTACATTTACACAATATATCACTTATGAAAGCAATTATGACCTTTGCATTGAAATGTATGCATGAATGAGCTCAAAGCTGTATTTGTATGAAAGAGAATTCACATGAACACAGTTCAAATGTTTTCATTATAATTTTACGTCAACATCTGTTTCCATATTATTATAACATACAATAATACTAATTAAATAATAAAGGCATTGTTCAATGTCAAATCGTTGTTATGACTGGTCAGCAGAGCTGGGTAGATTACTTGAAAATTGTAATCCTTCACTGATTCCAAATTACATGACAAAAAATGTAGTTAGTAAAGTAATCTAGTACATTACACATTTTAGGTAATATAATCAGACTACTTTTTGATTACTTTTAGATTACTTTTGACCTAACTAGTTTATCCTATTGATTTAAATAGGATAATCTTTTTAAAAAATAAAAATGCAAAGAAAAAGAAAATATAATACATTTCTTGTTATTAACATAATGAAATGCACTAAACATTACATTATGTCAAGGTTTTCTAAACTGGGGCTCGTGAAGGAAATGCAGGGTGTTCACGAGTTTAATGAAAAGCTATTAATTACATCATAAAAAATGTCAAATTAAAATAAATCAATTTAAAATAATAACAATCAAAATAAAACACTTACTAAAAAAAAGAAATAATTCAAATAAATATATTAGGTGAAAGAGATTCCTCTAGAGGCCTCTAGACGAGTGACTGGTCTTTGTGTGAATGTCCATAAAACTGGAAGAGTTTCTGAATGTATATAAGTGGTAAGCTATTTTAGAAAGGAATATTTAAAAGATGAAAAAGGGGAATTAGAGAGAATCAATAAATTATGAATAATTTATTGCTATTGTGTGAATAATATGTAATCATGTAATCAATAAAAAGTAACTGTAGTCTGATTATGAGTATTTAATTTAATCTAATTACAAGTACTTAATTTTTGGAATCTGATTACATAATCCAGTTTACATGTAATCAGTTACTGCCCAGCTCTGTTGGTCAGTTAGGTTGTTAAATATATGCGTTGGCATCCAGTTGATGTGGCTCACCTCTGCACAGGGACGTGTGCAGGTCGTGAGCGGGCTCTACATTGGTCTTCTCTGTGCGGCGATACTGACCGCGAGCGATGCTGCATGGCCGCCTGTCTCTCAGGTACGGTCAGCGTGCTTGACCTCTCCCTGTCTCTGGAGTTCCTCTCTGCTGCTTTAATACAAGTACATTCTGTGTCACGGATTTGTTCCAGTCAAAAACATACAAGGGACATCAGAGAGTGACAATAACTCACCCACATTCACATTTCTAAAACTACTACAACAATTCATGCCAATGGATTGTGCTGAAGTGCCAGCACAACTGCTACTGCTCTACACATGCTAGAAAGAAACAAGCAGATAAATAAATAAACAAATAAAATCTGCATTATATGATTGTACTGTTACAAAGATTCCTCCGTTTTCATCCCCTTAAATGTATTTATTTGCATAATCACATTTTACATTTTACTTTTATTTTATTCGCTTGGCAGAACAAACCTAAGCGTACATGATGCATGAGTTTTGGGAAAGACAAGAAAGTCTCTAAAACATGGCAAGTCTGGTGTGACTATAGAAATGTATAGAGCCTCTAAGTGGACACGGTGATGGTAAAAATATGATATGGGAGGAAAAATGTGTTATATTTTAGATAAGGGAACACTATTCACTATTAACTCTAAACTTTGCATTCCCTCGCAAAAGTTTTGCGTTTCCCCCATAAAACTTTGAGTTCATTAGCAAAACCTTTGTGCCTTTTGAACTGGACTTTGAGCTTTGTAACTTTGCAGATCTTTTTTATGCTCAAACAGCAACATTACAGACTAACTAAAGTTGAAAAAGTGAAAAAGCATAATAGGACCCCTTTAAGTTTTATGTACTATTAAGTATTCCTCTGTGAAACATGACATTCTCTCAGAAAATTCTCTCTCTCTCTCTGTTCTTTTGTAGTATTTCTTGACATAGTGATTAGAAACTAATTAACCAGCAAAAACAAATTAGAGATACACCAATGCTTGATTCACAACATTACTCGTGTCAAGCAAATAACACCACAAAAAGCTATCCGTATCAACTTTATAGATTAATTTCCTAGAATACAACTGTGAACAACTACAGATGATGTTACAACTGATCCAGGATTTGCTGGTTACAACCACAGAGATGAGAGCTTCAATTAGCCTAACCTTAACCTCCATTAAATCACAGCGTGAAACAAAGCATTAAATAGACCTAAACAGCATAACGTACCATTTTCACTGAAACACATACACATTCCACTACAATTCACTCATGAAATTATCTATGAATTGAATGTATTTTAGTACAATTTAGAACTGGAGAAGCACACTGACTTGCAATAGTCAGGAATTTATGCTTTTTGTAAAGGAAATCTGACTTTTACATTTCCAACTTGCAGTTACATTAAAAAGTAGATTTGGGAAGGAAGTGAAATGTCCCCCAATCAATGTTGAAAGGAATTTTAAATGTGCCTAAATTAAGCATTAAGCGCTACAGGGTTTCTGAGAATTCATGACTCATGCATCCACTAAACTTTTTATGATTGCTCATCAAAGCACTAAGACTGAACAAGTGCAAGTTTTCCTAAATTTATAAACAGGATATAAATGGAAAGCACTCAAATAATGCCCACAACCCCCCAAAGTTCAAATGAATCCTAAATGAATCCCAAGATTTAAGTCAGTTCTTTTATGTGGAAAATAATGTAAATGTCAAAACATGTCACATTATCAAGTTCTCAATATCGACATTAACTATGAAAAAATAATCTTGGTGTAACTCTATAACAAAATGTCCAGACAACAATCCTTGGATTTTATCTTGGATATCCAAGATAAATGTAGAGATATATATATATATATATATATAAAACAACAACTTAAGATTCAAAATATCAGCCACAGCGTATTCATCATTTACACTCTAAATTCTACAGCAAGCTTTTCTACAGACATGCAACAGAGGTAACATCCATTGTCATAAGACCCATATTAATCCTGTTACATGCTGTAATACACGGTCGCTTTATAACCTCTAGCTACTGCAGCTTGACAACAAAATTAAGCAGGTCTTATGAAGGTGACAAAAGTGTGTTTTTTTTTTTTATAGAGCGTGATTGTGGAGTGATTCCTCCAGTGTCCATGCAGAGAATCTGTGTGTTTCTGTGGTTCAGTTTAACACTTTACAGCCCACCACAGGGGGAGAAAGATTGTATTCTGTTTTTCACAAACTAACACAACCTTCTTTTTTAATCTGTTATTCTATTCTAATCATACACAGCAGTTTGATCTTATGCTTTCATCTTTGTGCCAATTAAGAAGAAACTTCATTTGTATTTGAACTAATGGGCTCGTATACAACTAAAAGTCTTGGAGGAACAGTTTAAAAAAAGTGTAACACTTCAGTACACATCTACAGGAATAATAGGTGACATTAGCTTTCTCTCTCACCCTGTGTTGGGTTTCTACTCTTCAAACAGTAGAATCATTGCGCCCACCCACCCGAGGACACTACCGTTATACCATCATCATAATCTGTTTCAATGATGCTGCTTTTGCATGCATTATGCATGCAGCACCACAGCACTCTGTCTCAGGTAAACACATTTTCAGGAATGTTTATTGATGTGTACATGCACACACACACACACGCAGGCACGCACACACGCACGCGCACGCACGCGCACACACACACACACACACACACACACACACACACACACAATTCAACTGCTGAACATAAAGTACAACATATATTGTAACTGCATTATGACCTGCATTCAAAGCAATTCAGTTTCACCTTATTGTTCCTCTTCTCAGCACACACTAGCATATGAATAATTAATATGGTTGCATTGTTTGATCATTTGCTTGCTTTATTTGTACTGTAGTTGTTGATTTTGTTCTCATGTTTACTAACTTCTTACCCTGTGACTTCAGGATGTCTTTGTTCCTCTACTTTAAATTAACAGTATTAATCTTGTCAAAGACATTAGTTCATTACTCAAATGTTCATTAACAAAGTCTCTTTTGACATTGAAAACAATAAGGACTAGGCGTAAAATATGCTTAATGACGATAATTACATCTTTTTGATTGAAGAAAATGATGATGAAGAAAATTCTAGAAATAATATGATTGTTTCAAACAATCCAATCTTAGGTTCAACAGTTAAATAGAATCGCTGAACAATGAACACCAGTAAACTGAAGTGCTTAATTTGGTCACCCAAACGCTTATTCTGTATAATGCAATAAAAGTACAACATGGAAAATCAATGCATCACATTAGTGATTATAATGTTATTTCAGGATCTCAAAAAAAAAAAGGGTACATTTTGATTAGGTCTGAACGCGAGAGTAAAGAGGTATGTTCGACTTGAAGATCGAACGGTGTATGACATCAAAGTAAGGCGAGAGAAAGCATAAGGAGACGTCTGCGCTCTCTTATAGCTCTCGCAGTACTTTGATGTCACACATCCATCGGTCTAAGCAGCGCTGCTTCAAGTCGAGCGCGGGCCATCAGCAGAAAAAGAAAAGAAATAAAACAGTAAACAGCCAAAGGACGTAACTTAGAATGGGAGATGGCTCGGTTTGTGAAAGGGAAGAGAAAAGCCATAGATGAAAGTCGCACAGACCCAGGCAGGTGCTGGTCATTTAGAAGCTAAATGCAGAAAATATGACGAGGCATATCTTGCTCTCGGCTTCACTCACCGTGTCTATACCCGACGCTACAGATGTCGCATCGCGCCACAACAGCTCTACACTGGAAGCGACAAAGCGACCGTTGCAAATCATTTTAACTTTGTGTCAGTACGTCATAAATAGAACAAGGCATCAGTTTAATGTCGGGTTTTGCCGTGTCGCGCCGCGCCGCATCCAGTGTAGACAGCGTCACTGATTATAATGGGTTCTACTCACTGATCTATATAATGACTATTATAGATCAGTGGTTCTACTGTATTTTGCTGCTCGCGTCCGGTGTAGACACGGTGTTTAATGTCGTTGGTGAGGAAGAAAGCCTGTGTGTCCTATGCCTTAGCGGACAGCA